CCATCATGGTCAACAAAAGAGTCTGAAATGCAGTACTTGGATGCAATCTCAAAAACGACAGAATGATATCTGTTCATTTCCAAGGCAAACCATTCAATATCACGGTAATCCAAGTCTATGCCCTGATCAGTAACACTGAAGAAGCTGAAGTTGAACAGTTCTATGAAGACCTACAAGACCTTCTAGAACTAACACCCCCAAAAGATGTCCTTTTCATTCTAGGGGACTGGAATGCAAAAGTAAGAAGTCAAGAAACACCTGGAGTAACAGGCAAATTTGGTGCTCCCTTTACATCACCAATAATGGCACAGATGGCTGGACCACAAAGGGATTCACAGAACCAGTCCAGGCCCATAGCGGGATTTGCACACGTGCTCTTTAGTATTTGAATGAAAACGAGCTTCCTTTCCTACAGAAACTCCCCAGAGAAAACAAAATACTTCTGAAGATTAAAATAAAAAGACACTGTACAAGTTGGATCCTATGAGGCTGATCCTCTAAGGCTGGTCAACATTACAGAAAACCAAAGTTTGGGATAAATGGGGAAACTGAAAACAAAAGTTTACAAATCTTCCCCCACACAAGAAAATCCTTTGCTATACCTTTTTTGTACTTAAAATACTGAGCCACCTCAAAATCATTTCCATTCCAATACCTAAAATCAACTGGTCTGTAAGTGTTGCGAGGTGAACACTATAAAATGTGGTACAAATGTGATTCTTTCAAAACCACTGAGCAGTAATAAAACTCACAAATAAGCACAAATTTTTGTCTCAAAATAAATCAGTCAAGCTAAAAAGTTTAATGTGTTCTTTTTCTTTTCTGACAGCTTTTTCATCATACTGTGCAGGGGAACCCAAGTATACATGCCATGGGCAAATACATGCCATAACAAGAGGGATAAGGATAGGCAGGATTTGAACTGACTGATGGGAGAAGGAAGGACAGAGTGCAGAGGAGGAATATGAAGGTACAAGGGGACACACCTTGTATAATTTCACTTCTCTTAAGTATCTAGAGTAGTCAAAATCATGATAACAGAAAGTAGAATGGTGGTTGCCAGGAGGTGGTGGGAAGGTGAAACAGAATTGCTCAATGGGTACAGAGTTTAGTTTTTTTGAGATGAAAAAGGGTGAGCAATGTTACACAAGTGTAAACATAGTTAACTGTACACTTAAAAATGGCCAAGAGGGTAAATTTTAGACTATGCATTTTTTTTAAGCTACAGTTAGAAAAAAAGAGAGTCACAGAAATTAGAAATTATTAAACATTAGAAATTATGACTGCCCTGGCAGTCATACTAATGCAAAACTATTTCAAATTGACTAACTTCAGTGTGCAGTCCTAATTTCTAAAATTCCCTTTTTCCCTAATTGAAAAAAAAATGTAGACATGCCTTGCTAATGGTACATGCAGGTTTCCTTAACTACAATAAAACTGAAGGAGCGAGAAAACTAAGAGAAGACAATACAAACCCTAAGTGATGGTAGAAAATACAAAGCAGGCTAGTTAAACACAATCTAATTGTGCCATCCCCACCCACAATGTAGTCTAAGTCGCTATAGAAAACTGTACACGGACTTCCCTGGTAGTCCATGGCTAAAACTCTTGTGCTCCCAATGCAGGGGGCCCAGATTCAATCCCTGGTCAGGGAACTAGATCCCACATGCCACAATAAAGATCAAAGATCCTGCGTGCCACAACTAAGACCTGGCGCGACCAAATAAATTAAAATTAAATTAAATTTTTTAAAAACTGTATGGAAGCTTCTCTTTACACCAAGAATAAAGAAAAACTCTTCTACCTGCTTGCAAGGCCCAGCACCTTCTGGCCCACTTCTCCAGCCCTCTCTCTCCCCAGGTTGTTCTATATGCTTCCTGATCCATACACAGGCCTGTACCTTAAGTCCCCAGTCATCTCCATGAACCCTGCCATCACAGGGTCTTTTTACCCTTGTGTTTGTTCTGACTGGAACGTTGTTCCTTTCCTGTGCATCCTCCAGATCTCAGTTCAAATGTAACTTCTGGGATTTCCCTAACTCAAATAGTTGTCACTGTTGCAGTTTTACATTTGTGTGGTTAATCTGATGGCATCTGCTGAGCACAAGGATCTTGTATGCACTCACTCTCCCCCATTTCCAATGCTAAACTCAGCACCTAGTACCAACTAAGCAAATACCTGTTGAATAAGTGAATGGGCACCAAATCTATAAGAAAATAATAAAATATCACAGAATGTCTCCTTACGAGTTTGTGCATCTTCACAAATGAATCTTGGAGAACGCCCAAAGCAACTGAGCCTAAAGTCCCTATTCAACTCAAAGAAAACAAAAAAGTCAACTCAGATGCCTGTATAAATTTCCCTGGCCCTTCTGTCTCTAAGCAAATACTGAGCAGCACTCTAAGCGCTTAATAAATACTTACTGAACTGAAATGAAATTATACTCTTTCGAATAATGGATTTTGATATCTAAACTCCTGCATTTTAGTCCCAAATAATATTTCCAAAAATTGTTCATATGCCTCAGTATAATTACCACTGGATTAATTATAATGTCGTTACCCAATAATGGTTGAATAAGGCTTAGCGCAGGGGTCCCCAAACCTCATGGTATGGGTCTGTGGACTGTTAGGAATTGGGCAGCACAGCAGGAAGTGAACAGCTGGTAAGCAAGCGAAGCTTGCTGTGTATTTACAGCCGCTTCCTATCGCTCCCATTACAGCCTGAGCTCTATCTCCTGTCAGGTCAGCAGCCACATTAGATTCTCACAGGAGCTCGAACCAAAACAAGACTATGGAGTAGACTGACATAGCAACACACTTCAGGTGTCATTGTCCCCCATTACCCTTAGATGGGACCATCCAGGAGCAGGAAAACAAGCTCAGAGCTCCCACTGATTCTGCATTATGCTGAGTTGTACAACTATTCCATTATATGTGCAACTATTCCATTATGTGTGCGTTCATGCTAAGTCACTTCCGACTCTTTGCGACCCTATGGACTGTAGCCCTCCAGGCTTCTCTGTCCATGGGATTCTCCAGGCATGAGCACTGAAGTGGGTTGCCATGCACTCTTCCGGGGGTTCTTTCCCATCCAGGGATTGATCCCGCATGTCTTAGCTTACATCTCCTACCTTGGCAAGCGGGTTCTTTACCACTAGTGCCACCTGGGAAGCCCCATTTCATTATACATCATAATGTAATACTAGAAATAAAATGCGCAATAAATGTAATGTACTTGAATCAACCCCAAGCCATCCACACAACCCAGAAAAATTACCTTCAGGAAAACAGTCCCTGGCGCCAAAAAGATTAGGACCGCTGGCTTAGAGCATCCTTAGTACCACTGCTTCAAACTCAATTAAGGGTTATCATTACCATCTTTCTAAAGTCCATATATATGTGTTAGTATACTGTAATGGTCTTTACCCTATATGCAAAACAGAAAAAGAGACTCAGATGTATAGAACAGACTTTTGGACTCTGGGAGAAGGCAAGGGTGGGATGTTTCAAGAGAACAGTATTGAAACATGTATATTGTCTAGGGTGAAACAGATCACCAGCCCAGATTGGGTGCATGAGACAGGTGCTCGGGCCTGGTGCACTGGGAAGACCCAGAGGGATCGGGTGGAGAGGGAGGTGGGAGGGGGGACTGGTGGGGGGACTGGGATGGGGAATACATGTAAATCCATGGCTGATTCATTTCAATGTATGACAAAAACTACTGTAATGATGTAAAGTAATTAGCCTATAAAAAAAAATAATAAAATAAAACCCTTCAAAAAAAAAAAACTCAATTAAGGGAGGTTTTCAGTCTTTTGTATTTTAATATAAATTTTACTTCGTCAATTTCTGGGCGGGGGGGGCAGCTGTCGGAAACAGGCCAGCTGGGATTTTACTATTGCATTGAAATTGTTTTCAAATGTAAGTCAGAGATACTAACACCTGTCCCTACTTTTTCAACGTGGTAAATGTCACTTGAGTCTTTTTTTCCCAAATCTACTCAGTCCCAAGGAAAGTTCCTTCTGTAGAAAAATGTTAAGACACAAAATCTAACTCAAAGAATACTAAATAAACTAAAATTCCCGGGTAGCTCAGCTGGTAAAGAATCTGCCGACAATGCAGGAGACCCCCGTTCAATTTCTGGGTTGGGAAGTTCCCCTGCAGAAGGAATAGGCTACCCACTCCAGTATTCTTGGGATTCCCTGGTAGCTCAGACAATGAAAGAATCCGCCTGCAATGCGGGAGGCCTGGGTTCCATCCCTGGGTTGGGAAGATCCCTTGGAGGAGGGCATGGCAACCCACTCCAGTACTCTCGCCTGGAGAATCCCCATGGATAGGGGAGCCTGGCGGGCTACAAGTCCATAGGGTCGCAAAGACTCCGACGCGACTCAGCACAGCACAAATAAACTAAAAACCGGAAAGCTAATCCCCAGCTAAAGGATCAGCTCGAAATGTTGAACTAAATGAGTCTCCACGATCAACGAAGCAGATAAAAGTATACCACGCTGGAAGGAGCAAAGCAACAGGCAAACATCAAGTATTACATCAAAGTGGCTGCTGCTCAAGAATCCTAAGGCGCCCCTCCCCTATCAATCCCAAACATCTGTATCGGGACCCAACAGAACGCGTCCAAAGGTGACCCGAACCTCGGGAAGCGTCCCCTCGACAGCAACAGGCTGTTTAACTCTGCTTTTCCTCTCGGGGCATCATACTGGGTACAAGGGAGGGCCGGCGGGGCTAAAGCCCGGCAAGGAGCCGGGCCTGGGAGACCAGGTGGGCCCTGAGCGTGGTTCGTGGGGTGGGCAGGGGCGACGCCAGGGCCGGGGGATTGATGCCAGAGACAGAGAGCACTTGCGCCCGGCCGCCGGCGCAGGTGCCCCCACCTCCCCGGAAGAGTCGCGGTGGCCTTGAAGGCCAGCCCCGGGGTCGGTTCTGGGGAGGGGTCGAGGTGGGCGCGCGAGCGCGGGGGGCGGGGGGCGGGGGGCGGGGAGGCCTCACCGTAGCTCCCGGGAGGCCAGCGCCGCCGCCGTCCCGCAGTTGCTAAGGAGAATGCTCTTCCGGGTCGCGGGCGCCGAGTTGTAGAGAGTAACGGTGGCCGGGAGGGGCCAAAAGCGAAGCGCGGGGGTGAGCGCGCGCGGCCGTGGCGGTGGTCCCCACGGTACTTCTGTTGAGGCGGCGGCAGCAGGGCCGGAGCGGAGGGCTCTCCCGGCGGCCGGCTGTAGCCAGTGGCTCTAGATGCCGCCCCCTGCTCCCGGGCCAGCGGCTGGCGGGCGACCTCCCGCCCCTGGTCCTGATCGCGCCCAGCCCCAGTCCTCGGTACAGTGCCCTGCTGGACTGCCTCTCACACCACCCACTCCCCTATCTCCCCACCCGCCTATAGCCCCCCAACCCGCCGCTATCCTCGCCCCCGACGCCGCCACCGCAGCTTCTAGCTCCTGTGTGTAGCCCCGCCGGTCCTTTCCTGTGACAGGTGTTTTTTTTACGCATCCCTTGACTTACTCCACGCTCCATTACACCTGCTCAGAGCTAGCTAGGTGCAGGGCTGGCCCTGGGATACCGAGGTGGACCACCCAGGCGTGGTTCCTGCCCGCTGAACCGACAGGCGGGTGGGAGGGCAGGTAAACAGGCAGTATCCTGCAGACTGGGATGCTCAGAGTGAAGAAAGGTAGGGGAGCCTGCCCGAGGGGGGCCTACCCAGACTCAGTTGGGGAAAAGCCAGGGGTGGAGACCTCAGCCAAGTTAAAAGGGTAGGGAAGAGTGATCCAGGGAGGAGAGTAGGCTCCCCGTTGAGAAACCCACTGAAAGAAAGGTATGTTCCGGCCTGCCCTGGAAAGTGTGTAGAGAAGAGAGTATGGTTAAGGCTGGAACCTAGAAAACAATATCATAGGTGTGAACAAAGGAAAAAGAACCCCCAAGGAGCTGGCAACGTGTTCGTTTGAAAGACTGCTGAAAAGACAGCAGAAGAATTTCGGTTAGGAGGTGATCACCAGTGTCAAATGCTGTGTGAATCCAGAGCCCAGTGGTAACCACAGAAAAATCAAAATTCAGGACTGGGTTGTCAAAATTGACAATGACTTGAATCTGTGTAGTGATTGAGTCCACCACCATATACTCCTAGTTAAAACAAGGGAAAGAGATAACATTAAATTGTTCCTGAATGCCTAACGTATCTGAAAGCACTGTCACTGTATTTGCAAATTTCAGAATTCCTCTACTATAACCCATCTCCTTGAAGGTGGAAAATATTGTTATTTAAGCTTGCATCTACAGTGCCTGCCACAGGCAAAGGCCTCAATCAATGTCTGTTTGAAGAATAAAAGAACCCCTGAGCCTCTGATTTTTATTGTTCACACAAGTCCCTTCCAAACCCTCAGCAAAGGTGTGTTGTGGGAAGAACTTGTCTATTCAAACTGTAGAGAGTGGAAGAAATTCAGCAGGGGTAGGAAGCAGAGCGTGATGGAGGTCCAGGGACTCAGTAGGTGGAAGAGAGCCCAGTGGAGCCGGAGGTGGAAAGATCCAAAAGAAAGATAAACGATTGAAAACATAGAAGCTGGGCTTTCAGGGCCAGAAATGGGAAGTAAAGCCAAAAATAATTAGAAACAAGAATAGGAGAGAAGGATAATTTTTGTACATAAGTTTAACAGAGATATCTCACTGAGATTGGACTGCAGGCAGAAATTGTGGTGTCAGCCAGTGTGAAGGCTGCAGGGCTAGGTAGACATCTCCCCTCCCCAAGTCATCTAAGTGAAGTGCACCCTGGGCTTCTTCATTTGGGCCAAAGGGTAACCGCAACACACTCTGGAGTGAGTTGAAATGAGAGGTTCGCCCCACAAACATATATCCCAGTCCATAATTCCAATCGATTTCCGTTATCACAAACATTACTGTGTGTGTGTGTGTGTGTGTGTGCATGCGTATGCCCAAGATAGAAATGTTATTCTTCTCTGCGAGACTGATAAATCTGTCCACAATGGATGTGACCAGGCATTCATAGAAAGAAACCATGAAATTCTAAATGTGTAGCTGAAGAGTTTAGAACACCCAACATATCGACCAAGAGGGCCTAGAAGCAACATCAACCCCATGGAAATTTCAACCCCATGGACTATAGCCTGCTAGACTCCTCCTTCCGTGGAATTCTCCAGGCAAGAATACTGGGGTGAGTAACCATTCTCTTCTCCAGGGGATCTTCCCAACCCAGGGATTGAACCCAGGTATCCTGTGTTGCAAGTGGAATCTTTACCATCTGAGCCAACAGGGAAGACCAGAAAATGGTTACAACTCAGTAAAAGAAAGTTAAATCAATTAATTTTTTGTGAAAAGAAGGGTCAAAGTCAACTTGTAACCTAGAAAAAGGAAATCCAAATACATGAAGTATAAGATAAAGCCCACCCCACATTCTCCTGGCAAACTTGAATATAGCATCTATTCTAAAGAACTGTGTTCTATTGAAGGGTCAAGGTGATTCATTAGGCTCAAGTTGGCTAGGCTTCTTGGGACATCTCAATGATGCCTCAAGAGGTAGAAATTTATCATTGCTATGAAGGGCATATTCTTAGAGAACTGCAGGGAATTGTGGGTGAACTCTGTATTTTCAGAGTGGTATGGGCATGGAAGTTTCCAAGTGATGTTCTTTGTCTGACTGGTCTCTGGATGATGGATGCCAGTTAATGGCTTAGAGGAATGCCCCCCAAGACCCAAGATATGAGTGAAGGATCAGAGTTACTGTGCCCTGTTCTTATAAGAGATGAGCCATCTGCTGCCTCCAGGAGAATTCCATTTTGGCCCTTCGAGGAACTGTGTCTTTTATGAAGTCTAAGTTTTGGTTACCCCAGAACTTTCCACGCCAATCCTGATTCCTAACCACCACCATCCCCAACTTGGATTTCTCCTTTACTAACATCCACTTTGTCTCAGACACCGAGGAGTCACTCTTGACTCCACTTTCCCCCATCACCACACTCTCACCCTAATAACCCAGTCCAAGAGCAAGTCCTATAGACTGTGGCATTTCCCCCACCCAATTCCACTGCCACCAGTTACAGTGAAAGGAGCAAATAACCAAGCAACTCGGGTTCAGTAAGTAGGGGTTACAACCTCAAAGATGAAGCAAGGTGCTAAGGCTGTGTGTGTGTGTGTGTGTGTGTGTGTGTGTGTGTGTGTGAACAACGTAATGACCAAACAGCACAAAAACTTCAAGGAGACAGGATGGAATAAATTCATTCAACCACACATTCTGATTGCCTTTCACCTGCTAATTTTACCTTGAAGGAAGTTAAAAGATAGTGAAAGGACTACCAAACAGGTTAAAGAAAAATCTAAGGTAGAATTGAACATATTCCAGGACTTCCCGTAATCCGGTGGCTAAGACTCCACACTCCACAATGCAGGGGACCTGGGTTTGATACCTGCTCAGGGGATTAGATCCCACATGCTACAACTAAGAGTTTGTACGTGGAAACTAAAGATCCCGCGTGCCGCAGTGAGGATTGAAGATCCCACATGATGCAACTGAGACCTGGCACGGCCAAATAAATAAATACTTTTTAAAAAAAGAGAATTGAACACATTCCAACAACCAAAGTAAAAGAGTGCTTGCTGTCCTGGAATGTGACTTTGGAAGGTCTTGACTCAGCTGTGCATGTGTGCATGCTGTCACTTCAGTCGTGTCTGACTCTTGGAGACCCTACAGACTGTAGCCCACCAGGCTTCTCTGTCCATGGGATTCTCCAGGCAAGAATACTGAAGTGGGTTGCCATGCCCTCCTCCAGGGGTTCTTACCAACCCAGGGGTTGAACCAGCGTCTTTTACGTCTACCTGCCTTGAAAGGCAGGTTCTTTATCACCAGCTGATCAAGCCCAGATCAACTGTGGGATGCATTATAAAGTCCATACCCGTGCAGGCAGAGTATGGTGGGCTTAGAGGGCTGTGAGTAAGCAGAAAATATCACCATTACTATATCAATTGTTCTTAGCCTCCCAGACTGCAGCAGCTAGATCATCTAGACCACTATTTCCAACTTGGAGTCTGTTTATAGCCTGATGCTGTTCTCATCTCACTTTAAACTTAGTCTTAAAGTTTACATTTTTCTCTTCTTTATAGCTTCATAGTATTATTTTTATCCTAATTTTTAAGAAATAAATCCTTCTATAATATTCCCATTTTTGCCTCATAGGTGTTAGCTTTTGCCTTAATGTCTCTTTAACCTACTAACTTCTATTTAAATTTTAATCTTTTTAAATATTTTTACTCTTTATTTTATCAGGATTCCATTAACATTATTATTAACTTTTTAGGTTTATTTTTTTAATTTTTCTGGTATTTTTGCCCTTTTGTCTCTTTTAATTTTACATATGCTACTTTAAATATGAATTTTAGAAAATGCTCTCATTTACAGTGTTATTCTTCCTAAATTTTTATTTCCACATCTTTAGCTTTAAATTTGTCAAAATTTTTACACTCATCATCTTATTTTAGTTTTTATTTCTCTGATCTTCCATCTTGCATATTTTTTCTGGTTTGGACTTGAATTACATGTATATCTCAGCAACTGCAAATGTCATCTAACAATCATTGCACTTTAAATGAGAAAACAAAGAGTCATATTTCATTCACAAAATCCAGAATGCTTATAGTTTTCTTTGCTGGAGAATTTACTGCAGAGGGAGATATGTATAGGACAGAATTTTACTTTTCTTCTGTGTCTTGTCTCCTGCTAGATACCAGCCACATAAGAAGCTAGTGTAAGAGAAAAGGCACTCTCAAGTTGCAACTCTGATACAGCACCAGTGTGGTATAGCACTTAAGGCATGGGTTACCAAACTGCTGGGTTCAAATCCAGCTCCTCCAATTACTTGCTGTGTGACCTTGGGCACATTAACCAACCTCTCTGCGTCTCCATTTTCCTCACCTGTAGAATGTAGATAATGGTAACATCTCATAAGGTTTATGTGAGGTTTGAATGAGTCAATATATGTAAAGGACCTAGAACAGTTCCTGGCACATAGTAAAATACATGTGTTTGTTAATATTATTTAACACATAGTTATCCTATATAGTAATTGCTCTTAGGAGTATAGAATAGCCAAGTATCTTGTAAATGATGGTCCTATTTGACATAAGCCACTTTTATTCT